AGTTTTTAATCATATATGAAATTTGTAAATACCTTTCTTTTTTGACATTTGATTACATTTCTTTCTCTCTGGTGTGTGACCTACAGGTGTCCCAGAGCTCGTGTACACAGGTCAGAAGACAATTTACAAGAACTGATTTTTTTTTCCCTCCATCAGTCATGCCTGGGCTTGAACTTGGGTCCTCAGCCTTGGTGACGAGTGCCTTTATCCACTGAACCATCTTACAAGACCAGCAAATGCCTAATCTGTAGCATGTATTTTCTTTATTTTAATTGTACCTTTTGAAGAGCAAATGCTTTGAAATTTGAGGAAGTCATATTTATCACAGTTTCTTTAGTGGGTTGCTCCTTTTGGGTTATATTTGGTTTTCCTCCTGTTCTTTGCTTTTGCTTAATAGACCTTCACACGCCTTTTAAAATGTGCCGCATCGATACTTATGCTTGTTAACTAAACAAACATCTCATTGTAAAATATTTGCATGATCGCCTCTTCCTTCTTATAAGTTCTATGTTATAAAGGTGTTTTCTGAAGTGAACCCATCCAGCGAGGTCTGTGAATAGTCTGCTGCACCAAAAAGCAGACAATAGTTATTGATCAACAGCATCCCATCCGCCAGGCGCTGCTTTATGTTCTTTCCTGGTATTAATTCATTTCATATGAAGGGTCTCATGTGGCAGAGCTGTGATTATCACCAGCACGGAGGTAAGCTAACAAAGCGGAATACATATGCTGCCCCCAGGGTGGCTGAGCTGGGATTTGAGCTCAGGCAGTCTAGCTCGAAAGCGAGCCTGCAGTTCTAACCACTGTGCTATGCTGCATCTGAGCAATTTCCCCGCAAGAAGGACTGCCAGATAAGATCCGTCACCATGGGGGACATGGCTTCTGTCTAATACAGAGTCACTGCCGCCACTGTCTGAATATGGGGAAGTTCCTGCTGAGGAAAATGCACTAGAAACTGGACCCATCATCTCCTCACTGGCCCCCAAGCTCCGAAACAGTGAGTCAGATCACTGCATGGCCCCAGTCCCCGGGCTTGCCTTGGCTCCTTCCTTCTGAGGCTTGGCTACTCAATAGTTCCATGGTTCCCTGGGCTGTATCTGCGTTTTCCTAACACAGTCCTGTTCTGCTTAAGATACCTCTGACTGATCTGTCACTTGCAACAAACCGCCCTGCTGCAGGAAGCATGGCTGAAACTTACTCTGTGTCCTACACAGCCTTGCCCCAGCACTCCTTAGACTCCAGGACCATCAGACCTCACAGAGCCTTCCTCCCAAGCTGCTGGCCCTTGCTCAAGTGTCTCTCTAGGCCTCCCCTGAGACAATTACCTTATCTGACACACTAACCTGTGCTAATGAGAGGGCTGGAGGGAACTCAGCCCCTCCTCTCGTGCCCAGGTAGTAAGGGCATATACTCTGAGGAGGGTTTTTCTGATGACAACGGCACTTTTGTTTCCCTAACCAGGAACAGCTTCAACAGTGCCATTTCAGGGTAGCTAAGAGAGAGGAAGGAATCTTTCTGGGCAATGGGACCTTTGTGTTTCACTTCCGCTGCGCTGCAGCTTCCCCACCACCACCACCACCACCCCCTCGCAAGATCCATAGGTGACGAGAGTAATCCCAAAGTGACTTCGGAGCACTCAGCAACTGTGAAAGCCATGCCAGCCCCAGTACCAGAAATAAATGTGGCAAGGAATTCTGGCTTGGGGTATGTGATCTGAGATCCGAGGCTCAGGTTTTGGAACCACATCACCTTCTCTCCAGGTTCTGGCTTGAAGCACGCAGACAGTTTCTGAGTCTGTCCAGTCTTAGAAGTGGACCCACTGATCACAGCAACCTTGTGGGGAAGGGGGCAGTTCATCTGTGAGGTGACCAGCACACTGACTGGCCCACGGCTAGTGGCCTTAGCTTTTTCAAGAGGCAGCAGGCCTGCACTTCTTTCTAGCTTTTTCTCTCTCATGCACAAATGATTGTCAAGTGCATCATATGTCTAAGGACTCAACTGATATGTTTCGCAATTATTTTTCCGAAAGTACTTGCTAGTACTTTCGTCAGCATATACGTACTGACCACCTACTTTCTACTGAAAACCATGATCTAGGCTAGAGGAAATTCTCCAGTAGCTGCAGCGTAGGTTACCCAGCAAATAGCATCAAGCAACTGAAAAACTGCCTGAAGCTTCAGAGCATTCAGAAATCAGTATTTGTTTTGGTATTTCTCTTTGCACAGTTAATTTCCCAAGCAAAGCAGGGTACTTTTATAGTTATTCCAATGCCTTTATTGTTTCCAGCAAGCTTCATCAACTCACCAGAATGTCGTGTTCATCAGGAACTCGGGATAAGACACCTCGGTAGCTGCGGTAGAAGAGCTGAGTCAGAGTGGTTAGGAACAAAGGCTGCTCTTACAGAGAGCCAAAGTCTGGTTCCCAACACCCATCTCGGACAATTCACAATCACTGTAATTCCAGATCTGGGGCCCAACACCCTCTACTGGCCTCCAAGGTCACCTGCACTCGTGTGCACAAACACACCATTAAAAATAATAAAAATCAACCTTTAAAAAAAAAAGAAAGAAAGGCATCTAGATATGGACTGAATTTTAAAAGAAAAACCCACAGAAGTAAATGACAGTAAGATCATAGTGGCTAGCATTCATTAACTATGACTGTGGACAAAGCAGTATTCAAGTAATTATAAAAAGAATGTTTTATTAACCTTCCTAAGCTCATCCGATAGGCTCTGTTCTTGCCCTCCTCCCTAACTCCCACTCCTCTGCCTTGTCTTCTTTTTCTTTTTTGGATAGGATTTCATTATGTAACACTAGCTACCCTAGAACTCAGAGATCACGGGGGTCAGCCTGCCTCTGTCTCTTGAATATCGGGTATTTTTCTTATTGATGGAACATATGTTTGGTTTGTTTGTTTGTTTGTTTGTTTGTTTAGGTCAAAAAAGCTTTACATATTCTTTAATAAAATGAAAGTTCCATGCTTAGAATTACGTCATGAGTCTTTAATATTATAAAATTGTTGATTACAAGTGTTGAAAAAAATAGTAACATTTTACCCTTGTTAAAAAAAAAGTCATAGAATTCAGATAATAATAATAACTCAGATTCTACATGACTCAAGTATTTTGTCTCAGTAAAGGTTTTGGTTAATGTGAAGATAAAACCCCTCTAGACAGGCTGTCCTCCATCCGTCAGTTCACACAGTGTGCTAACTGGCTGCAGCGGCATCTCCACTGTGACTGTTCCTGTCCTCACGGTTATTTGCAGGCAGCCTTCTGTACCCTTCTCAGAACCCCAGATGCTCTTGACAAGCCAGCATTTATTGGTCTCTGAATCTGGCCCTTCAAGTCTGTAACTACTAGAACACTATGGTTGAGCTTCTCGCTGCTTTTGTCTACGTATCTGTTACTTTTCTATTGCTGTGACCGTGACCAAGGCAGCTTATGAAAGCAAGGGTTTAGTTGGGGTTACAGTTTCAGAAGGTTAGAGTCCGTAATGTCGGAGCAAAGGCATAGCTTAAGCAACAGCTGAGGGCTGACATCTCAAACTACAAGCAGGAGGCAGAGAGAACCCAAACTTGGTCCCATCTTTAGGGGCACTCCACTCAGCTCCCAAATAAATACATGGAGACTTATTCTTACTTAAGAATGGCCTAGTTTAGCTTGTTTATAGCCAGTTTTTCTGACTTAAATTATCCCATTTCTCTTTAACTACATTTTGCCTTTGGGCTTTTAATCCTTCTTTATTCTATATGTCTTTCTTTCTTTCCTCCTTTTCCACTTTTTAAAACTGTTTTTATTGAGCTAAACATTTTTCTCTGCTCCCCTCCCTTTCTCCCCTCTGCCCACAGTCCCCACGCTCCCCATTTACTCAGGAGAGCTTGTCTTTTTCTACTTCCCATGTAGATTAATCAGATCCATGTATGTCTCTGATTGTTGTCTAGGTTCTCTGGGATTGTGAATTATAGGCTGATTTTCTTTGCTTTATGTCTAAAAATCATTTATGAGTGAGTACATATGATATTTGGGTCTGGGCTATAACATGAGGCCCGGCTGGCTTGTTGGGGTTTCTGTCCCGCCCGGTACCCCACAACCGAAATTAGGTTATAAACTGATTGGCCCATTAGGTCAGGCTTCTTGTTAACTCTTATAACTTATGTTACCCCATTATCCTTATCTACGTTAGCACATGGCTCTGTACCTTTCTCAGCTGGGCAAGTTACATGCTGCCTCTTCGGTGGTCTGCGCAGGAGTGACTGAGGGACCTTCCTCCTTCATAGCCTTATTCTATTCTCATTGCCCCGCCTCTACTTCCTGTCTGGTTGACTCACCTATACTTCCTGCCTGGCCAATCAGCATTTTATTAAAATACATGATTGACAGAATACAGATAATTCTCCTGCACCACTGGGCTACCTTGTTCAAAATGATGTTTTCTAGATCCATCCATTTGCCCACAAATTTCAAGATATCACTACTTTTTTCTGCTGTGTAGTTCTTCATTGTGTAAATGTATCACATTTTTCTTATCCATTCTTTGGTCGAGGGGCATTTAGGTTGCTTCCAGGTTCTGGCTATGACAAAAAAAATGCTGCTATGAACATAGTTGAGCACATGTCCTCGTGGTATGATTGAGCATCCTTTGGATACATACTCAAAAGTGGTATTGCTGGGTCTTGAGGAAGGTTGTTTCCTAATTTTCTGAGAAATCGCCATACTGCTTTCCCAAGTGGATGAACCAGTTTTCCTTCCTTCTCACTCCGTGGTTGGCTGTGCAGCTGGTGACTGGAGAAGGTACCCTCTCCTTCTTCACTCTCTGCCCAGATTTCTCCTTCCATTTATACTCTCTGCCTGTCAGCTCTGTGTATCCTTTCTCCTGCTTCACTATTGGCTGTTCAGTTCTTTATTAGACCAATTAGGAGTTTTAGACAGGCAAAGTAACAAGCTTCACAGAATTAAACAAATGCAACATAAAAGAATGTGACACATCTTTGCATCATTAAACAAATATCCCACAGCATAAACAAATGTAACGCATATTAAACTAATATTCCACAAGATACCTCTTCCAAGAAGATGAAACCTCCTAATCCTTCCCAGTGTTGGCAAGAGGGGACCAAGTGTTAAACCTACAAACCTCTGGGGACCGCTCTCTCACCATCACTTCTCATTCAGCAGATGATGGGCTTGTCGAGCTGGAAGAATGCGACGGATGGAATAATTGCGCCACCCGTGGGCTCCACACTCACCACCTCTACTAGGGGCTTCTCCTACTGAGCAATGTCCACAAATGTGGTGTGTTAGCCATAAGAGACCGAATCAGACTTACAAGGCTGCACCCTATGTTTCAAAAGAATGGAAGACTTCTGAAGTCAGGTTTTTGTCGTACTTAATATAACAAAAAGCATAATCCATCCATCCACCATAACAGTCCTGATTGCCTCGAACCTGAGACTAGCCCACAGAATAGTCTTTTCTGGACCACTTTGCCAGTCTTCCGAACCCTCTGTCCTTCTAGGACCTCAGTTGTTCTAAAAGTCGGACAAGACCCACACTGGCCCTGATTCCTCAGAGGAGCCCCAGAAGTTCTTCTCTCTCTAAACCACAGACTTGGGGGATCTGACACAGTAAATGTTCCCGAACGTTCTTCCCTTGTACTTTGCTGGCAGCCATCCATCACCTGCCTGAACTCTTGACTGGTCATGTCACCAGAGGTTTCTATGGCATGGTGAAACCGTGCTTCCCCTCACTGGATCTTTTCCTTATCTTCTCCCACGCTGCTGTTCTTCATTCTTCCTCATTCAATCCATGTGATCAGTCTCCTGTGTGTGTTCTTCTGGTGCCACGGTGCCCCTAATGTTTGATGAAACAAAAGGCAGACACGAAGAAAGAATCTCTATCTGAAACCCCGGGGACGGCCACAGCTGCACAGGTGCACTGCACACACTTGGCACCAGAAGTTGCAGAGGTTCAAGAATCTCACTCACGCCTTTTTTTTGAGATGGGTTTTTCCTTCTTACCTTATTTTCTTTCTTAAGACACCTTTCCCATGTGGCTCAAGCTAAATACTGGGATTATACGTATGTGCCACCACGCTCAGCTTTGTCCCCCTCCCCTTAGGCAAAGAAATTCAAAGTTAAAAAAAGTGGTGTGAGTTAGCACAGCTCTAATGAGTTCCCCATTTGAGCCTAGGTTTCTAGAATCTAAATTTACATATGTACTGTGTTTATAAATAATATGAATATATACTAGTATTAATATATTATATTAGCATGTTAAATATAGATTATATTATACATTATATATTTGTATTTATTGTATTTTTATTTCTAAAAATTTTAAATATTTTTCCTATATACAATTTTCTATATTATACATATATAAAATTGTGTGCATATGTGTGTGTGTGTGTATGCATGTATACACACACACATGCTCACACATAAAACCGATCACATACCTCTTGTGGAGGACAGAGGACAACAGAAGCTAGTTCTCTCCTTCCACCATGTGGGAACTGAAGATCCAACTCAGACCATCAAGCCAGTTCCAGCCCATTGTCAGCTTATCCACTCTGGAACCCAAAGTCCTAACACAGACATTTTATTTAAAATTTTGGTAAGACAAAACCAAAGTAACTAATTTGGTCACTTTTAAGCGCACAGTTGGCTGTGGCATTAAGCACGTTCATTTTTCTCTACAAAGATCGCCATGCTCCATCTCTGTGCCTGTTGTGGGATGTCCCCTTTATGAAGCGATTGCAGCTGCAAATAACTAGGGGGTTTCTTATCAGTCATCTTCGCCAACTACCTGGAGTGCAGCAAGAAGCTGGGGTGGCTCACAGCTTGGCTAATCTAGCTACGTGCAGGCTGGCTCGTGAAACAGAATTTTGCTGGCCAAGTATATTTTAAACGTAATTTCCTTCCCTTGGATATCATGATCTTTTGACATTTCTTTTTCTTTTAATCATTAAGGATGTACCAACTACTAAAGAGTTTAGATAAAGTCAGTTACGAGAGAAGAGGGATCCCAGAGAAAAAAAGTTTGTGGTTCTGAGGTCTGCTGCAAAGCAGGAAGGAAATGTGGAGACACCCTGGTGATGTTCATGTCAGTCTAGAAAACGCACCAGCTAGGGCAGGGTACTGGGTGATGTGTATCCTTAAATGGCTAATTTTTTTCTGCCACTGTTAAAATTATTAAAGCTTTTATCCAAACCTACTGAGTAGTTATTTTCTTAAACATATTGTCTTAAGCCAAAATAGCCTATTCCCCACAGCTCGTGTGGGTAGGATTCTTTTCTCTCCTACTGAAGCTGTCCTTCTTCATTGGCCACTACATCACACATTTCTGCCGCTTCCTTGCCAGATGGAAGAGCATGAATCTCCCAGGAAGAGGCTGCTCCGACCTTTGCCTCACATTTCTAACTTGGCTTCCCTCAACTCCTTTCCAACAGGAGTATTAATTCCCACTCTAAGGGCTTCTGAAAGGCTCACTTTCAATGATTTTATGTAACAACAGTTGATAACCAGCTACATCTCAGCTGGAAATGGAGAATAGTTTTCTACTGTCATGCGTATTTTCTCTCCATATAGGATGTGTGTATATATTGGGGGAGGGGGTTTACTTTCTTACTCTTGACTTTATATGAAATGTGCAGCATAAAAGTTGCCAGTTTTTTTTTTAATTCCAGAATGCTCATGAAGGGATTGACCTGATGTGCTGTCATTTGTATAGACTCTGGAAAAATATGAAATGATGCATATCACACACACAAACATACACACCACACACACACATACACACACCACACACACATGTACCACACATACTACACACACACATGACACACAC